GTCTCGTGCACACGTATGTGCAGAAAAACTGATGGCAGGAGAAGCAGCTCATGTGCATTTAATCACAAGTGTCCACCACCCTCAAACACTGTGTGCCTGTCTGTATCTGCCAACTCCTGAGTTCATCTTCTTGGAGTTTAGAAGAGGCCACATATAAGGCCAAATATTTATTTAGTGTTGGCCATATACTTGGCAGGAGGCCTGAGGACACCATAAAGAATTGAACTGCTTTATAATGCCGAATTAGTGACCCATTGCTGCAGTCTAGATTCATTATGTCACTATGCCACCACTTTTCAGGACCTGTGAGGACCTTGACCATACACAGCAAATGAGAAGTGTCCATGTCAGCAGACAGTGATGTGGACAGCTGAAAAAGGACCTTCCCACGCTTCAATGCAGAACAGAAGAGACTGGGAACCCAGTTGGTCATGTCCATGTCTTCTGGTCCCTGCAAAAAAAGTCTGTGGAGCCAATTTTGCTGCGAGGAATTACTTTGAAACAATGGCAGGGACTGCAACCAAAATGCTGCATGAATATATTGTGACAGGTATAATATTTGCGCACACAGATTTTAACTAGTGTTTTCTTTTTTTTTTTCTTCCATCTACTACATTTGGAGCAGCTACTGAGGCATTAACTTAAATTTTGCTTATAAATACTTTTTTTCTAAGCACTGCATTAAGTGTATCCATGACCGTGAAAAGTGTATCATTTAGATTTAGTGGCTGACAGATGAAGGGTTGAGATAGTAATGCATGTGATGTGAACTGACAGGGTTTCAGCTCCCATGCCTTCGTAGACAAATGTGTACAGTCAGGCAGACTTCTTTCTTTATGGTTATATGAGCATTGGGCTTATAGGTGACCCTTGGTCAGGTGAGAAATTACTGAAGGTGCTCCACAATTGTAACAGGAGATACATTGATTAGTGTTTGTCTGTTGGACTCAAAGCCAAGTTGGAATTATTTATGAGGGCATATTTATAAATGGTGTATAAAACAAATGATGCCACTGGAAATCTGCCCTTTTAAGAGCTGTCTGGTTTGTAATCTTCAAAGAATTTTCTTAAAGGAAACCTGTGCTGAGATTTTAGGTAGACTGCCATTACTGAGCTTTCCATTTGGAAATGCTAGATGTCTGGCTATTTGATTCAATGCTAGATGTCTGACTACTTGATCCAAAAGATTCAGTGATTTTTGAGTCCTTGACCCAGAACAGATGTAGAGGTCTGACTTCCCTAGCTGCATGCTTGTTTCAGTTAAGGGACTCAAAAACATTGTCACAAATTTAGAAAATTTAGCATTTTAAGCTAGCCATAGATGAGGTTTTTTTTTTTTTTTCAACCTGATTGATTTCCCTCATTCACACATTCGAGGTAGATGGGGGAATCCTTCTGCTGTGTATTTTGTATTCCTGACAGAATCAGACTTTCCCGCTGTCAGAATTCACTGAGTGGAAACTTTCCAATAGGAAGGTTGAATAGAAGCAACCATAGTGTCCAGGACTTTGATTCCTCAAGCCACAGCCTCCAGCAAAGATAACAATAAGGATCATTGTAGTGATCTCACTAAATCTCACTCCCACTCTCCTGAAACTAGCAGTGAGAGGTAGCAGTGACCTAGATAAGGAGTTAAACAGAAAAACATTTTTTACATTAAAACATTAAAAATGTAGATGAATGAACACAAAGATACAAAAGTAACAATATGTTATATTGTATCTTTGTATAATTGTGTCTGGAGGAATGTTGTTTATAAACACTGATTCAGAATGCTTCTTGACAGCTAGGGCTGCCAACTTCTCTCAGTAACTCTTCTTTGAATAAACACAGTAGATAAGTACTGTATACTGAGAGTTCCAGAAGCATGCAGAGAGACTGGATGTGCTACACCCGTCCTTTGTACAATAATGACTACTTTTGGGGCATGTGTAGCACACGCAAAGTCTGCAACCAGTTAAGCCAGACACTTTGAAGAAGTACATTTCTGCACAATATGGTTATTGGTAATTTGGTGATGGCTGTAACTTGGTACTCCACTGCAAGGGTAAATTTTTAAGAATCCTGGATTTCAGTTTTAATGGGTATATATTTGTATACTCAGCTTTTAATTTTCAGTGAACATGTACACTGTTGCTAGTATATACCTATAAACTTTAGACAGAAATAGGGTTTTTAAATTATTACAAATACTGATATGGACCTCATGCACACAGGCGCTTAGCAGCTCCTGGATGCTGAGGTGTGAAATCCCCAGTGCTTTCTGGCACCCGGAGTGTTGTGCATGTCATGTACAGTTAACAATACAAGTGAATGGCTTATGCAGCTATGTTTGGGTGAACACTGATGGCTTCTGCGTCAGCATTTACCTGTCTATGCATGTGTGGCATTTTATGCAAATGCAAAAGTGGCATGTTCAGAGGTTACATATGGTTAGGGACAGATGAGCAGCCCTGAATGAGAGAATTTTCAGACTCTTGCCACAGGAATGAATGAGGCCTAAATCTGCCGACCATTTTTAAATCAAATGCACTTTTGTCATCATATGCACAGTCAGAATTGCCCATGTTTGCTTTGTGAAAATTGTGTCTTTCGGAGTTTCATCGTCATTCATTCTCTGCTTGTCTAACATCAGGGACTGAAGTAAGAAACAGGGATAAAGTTGACCAGTCCCACTGCCAGTCATCGCAGCTCCCATAGTCCCATCTGCTCAAGTTCCCTGTGAAGTCTGATACCGTAAACTGTTCTGTAATTGGAATATCAGGGTTAGACGCGTCTGAGGACCCTGGCAGTCAGTGTTTGTAAAAAAAATGAATTGCAGCTGTTACCTATCATTTTGGACAATTTCTTTTGTTAGTAGAAGCACCTAGTCTCAGGTAAAGTGAATAAACCTGGAAAGTTTAAATTGAAGTGAATGAGAAGAAAAAAGACATACTGTAATCTTAGGTTACCTTTTCGTGAAAACTGCACGTCCAAGTGATCAGTAGATAAAGGTATTGCCAGGTGTAAAAATCAAAATGTTTTCCTGTGTTGAATTTAGTCTGCCCATTGAATCTTCCTATTGTCTATTGTCATGAGGTCTCTTAGTATATTAACAGGCCATTAGATAGCTAGGCTCGGCAGATGAGCCTAGCTCAACACAATAATTAAAAATCAAGTAATAACTTCAGCTATGTCCCTTTTATTGATCAATTATTTTGATGTCCGGCTTTTAGTTAAGTAAGGATGATCTAGAAATGTTCTTGGAAACTTGCACTGGTCCAGCTTGGCACAGTATATCTTATATCTAATGGGCAACTGGGGAAGCGGACAATCATCTTGCCTTGTATCTGCTGATAAAAAAAAAATACAAGGCGTTATATGAATGGTGGCAGAACACATTAATCTAGTACCACTGACTACTACAGTCATTTTTCAGGTTCCCCAGGTATGAGATACAGTATATGCATACAATTAAATGTTCCACTTGTTTTTAGGGTAGAACATGTTCCCTTCATGACCGTGAGCGGGGGATTTTCTCCCTGCATCTGCTATCACAGTTTGAAAACAGTGCGGCCTCTTCATTCATTCATTCACAGGTTCCTGTGAATGAATGCCTACAAGTGCTGTCAGCTGTTGAGGCTGATGGCTTGTAGTTCTCATCCTTCTGCTCTCAAGTAACTGGCTGCTTGTACAAGGTATGGGCAGACAGCTGTGCTGACAGTCTGCAGGAGCCTGACATTGAACTCGCGATCTGGTGATCACAGGTGCTATGCTCTGTAGGCTCCTTAACAGATTGACAACCACTCCATAGCAGATGTACTGCTACAGGGCGGCCACGCTGTGCTAAATCACATAAATATCCATGATTTTGCATTTCCGGGTGGGGGGGGGCATGTGTATGCTGCCCTACCCGTGCTACTATTGGTGCCTTAGGATGTCTATCACTGTGTCCCCTCCAGGACTCAGTGATCATCGGCAAAGCTGAGAGGGGAGAGATCTGTGTGTAAACAACACAGATCTCTCTCCTGTCAGTATGGACGTGCTGCTTTCTATCTCTCTGCACAGGAGATAGAAAGCAGCATGTCTTCCTAGTAAAACACACTTTTCACAGTAAACCACAAACAGCACACTATTAACCTTTTGATATCCCCATGTTAACCCCTTCCTGCCCAGTGTTATTAGTACAGTGTCAATGCTTTTTATTAGCTCTGATCACTGTATTAGGGTCACTGGAGATGTCAGTGGCACTTAGTCAGTTCCCACCCAGTGTCAGAATGCCCACCGTAGTCCCACTATAAGTCGCTGATCGCCACCTTTGCTAGTGTAAAAAAATAAATAAATAAAAATTCCAGTATCTATACCGCCATTTGTAGACGCTATAACTTTCACGTAAACCAATTAATATACACTTATTGGGATTTTTTTTTAGCAAAGACATGTAGCAGAATACACTTTGGCCTAAATGTATGAAGAAATTACATTTTTTTTAAATTTTTTTGGATAATGTTTTATAGCAAAAAGTCAAAAATAATGTTTTTTTTTTTTTTCAAACTTGTCAGTCTTTTTTTTTTGTTCATAGCGCAAAAAATAAAAAACGCAGAGGTGATCAAATACCACCAAAAGAAAGCTCTTTGTGGAGAAAAAAATTGACACAAGCTTCATTTAGGTACAGCGTTTCATGACCGCGCAATTCTCAGTTAAAGTAACGCAGTGCCGTATGGCAAAAAATGGCCTGGTCAGGAAGGGAGTAAGGCTAGGGTCACACTGATGCGGTTTGGTACATCGCATGTGATTCGCACCGCACCACATTCCTGTGCAAATCACATGCGAATTCTGTGCGGTGCGATTTGAGCCATACGTTATATTTGTTTCAGTAGGTGGGACATTAAATTGTCCTGTCTTTCGATAGGTGTATTTTAACCACCTCCCGCCCGCCATATAGTAATATGACAGACGCAAGGTGGTTCTCTCGTTCTGGGAGGATGTCATATGACGTCCTCCCATTCTAACCGTGCATGCACTGCTCCCGGAGCGAGCAGCGCGGCGATCGGCGGTGCGCTGAGTCCCTCGGACACAGCAGATCACCGATCCACAGAAAGAGCCGAAGATGTCGGCTTGGTCATGTGATCAGCTTGTGTCTAATCACAGCTGATCACATGTAAACAGGGAGATGCCAGTTATCGGCATTTCTCTCCTCTCGAGAAGAGAGCCGGTACTCTACATTCCGCGGAGGGGACATGTACACTGATCATCAGAGCACTGATGATCAGTGTAGCCCCAGCAGTGCCACCTGTCAGTATCCATCAGTGCCAGCTGTCAGTGCTCATCAGTGCCATATCAATACCACATATCAGTGCCCATCAGAGCTGCCTTTCAGTGCCACCCATCAGTGCCAGTCAGTGCCGTCTATCAGTGTTAGTGCCGCCTATCAGTGCCATATATCAGTGCTGCCTTTCAGTGCCCATCAGTGATGCATGTCAATGCCCATCAGTGCCACCTTCCAGTGTCTCCTCATCAGTGCCCATCAGTGCCACCTATCAGTGTCCATCAGTGCAGCCTATCATTGCCCATCACTGCAGCCTCATTAGCGCACATCATTGAAGGAGAAAAATCACTTATTTACAAAATTTTATAACAAAAACTAAAAAAATTATTTTTTTTTTCAAAATTTTCAGTGGTTTTTGGTTTGTTTAAGAAAAAATAAAAAACCCAGCAGTGATTAAATACCACCAAAATAAAGCTCTATCTGTCACAAAAAACTGATAAAAATGTCATATGGGTACAATGTTGCATGACTGCGCAATTGTCATTCAAAGTGCAACAGCGCTGAAAGCTGGAAATTGGCCTGGGCAGCAAGGGGGTATAAGTGCCCTGTAGGCAAGTGGTTAAAATGTCTAATGGCTACTAGCTAAAAAAAAAAAAACCAAGTATGTTATTGTTGCTGTGATAACATCTGTACATTATGTTTCTCTGTCATTCTTGTACATGATTCCCAATTCTTCCTTATTAATAAGCCAGTCCAGAACCTTTGCACATCGATGGAAATTGCTGAAAATGATATAGCAGCAACCTACTGTATATAGAAATGAGTTGATATTTTTAGAGTTGAAGCCAATGTTGCAGTTTGCCTTTTCCTTCTAGTAAATGTTGTGAATTCCCCCCTCTAGTGGTCTCAGCTATTGTTGCATTTGTCTAACATGCGTCAGATCTGCTCTAGGAGAGGCACCTGTTTTAACTTGAAAAATAGCAACACATCTGGTGGTAGATTTATTACCTACAAATGCAGACATTTTTTTCAATCTGTAGATTATGGGATTAAGAAGGATTTGCAAAAAAAGGCAAAATGTTGCAAGTCCTGGATACTGTCATCATTTGTGTTGGATATATTTCTGATTCACATTATGCATGCCTTGATGTGTCATTTATTAAAGGGATGAGTTGGCATTATATGATTTAAGTGAATCACTGACTGGAGAGAGAAGCACTTTGGTCACTTGAATGGGAAAAAGTTCAGAGTCGGAGTTTCAGAGCTGAAAGAAAACAAATAACATGGCATTAAGGGAATCTTGGCCTTTGGCCAAACAACCAAACTCCAATTTGTTGCTATGGCAGCCTGTCGTTAATGTGATTACCTGTCTCAGTGGATGTCACACACAGCATTGTTATGACTTCACTGTTATTTTTTGTTCAGTACCCTTTGTTATCTAATTAAGCTCAATGTCTATGGCCAAGTCCAGTTGAAGTATTATGTGTTGTTCTGTCACCAGGGCTACTTTATGTTTTTCCTCCTTTTATACCATTTAATTTAGTTGCAGTCATTGTGTTAAAAGGAAAAAGCAGTGACCTTCAATACGTTACCATATTTGCCCTTGAGTCGCACATGTTCAACTGGCTGTGACTACATTTGGGACCCCACGATCAACCAAGATAACTTGGGCGTAAACTCAAAACACAACTTGGATGTACAAAATGGGAATCTGTGAACTATCATTGCTATCTAGCAAGCACTGCATGTATGCTAAAGTTAGGTTTGCTCATAATTCCTGTAGTTGAGAACTATGTACACCATATGGCTGCCATAGGTGGTGGGTGAAACTTAGAGGATCAAGGCTACATTTGAGATGGCTCCTAGACTTTACAAAGAATTGATCAGGATTGATATATACAGTGAAGGAAATAAGTATTCGATCCCCTGCTGATTTTGAATGTTTGCCCACTTACAAAGAAATGATCAGTCTAAAAATCAAATGGTAGGTGTATTGTAACATTGAGAAACAGAATAGCAACAAAAAATTCAAAAGAAATGCATGTCTAACAAATGATGCACTGATTTGCATCTTCATGAGGGAAATAAGTAGTTGATCCCCTATCATTCAGCAGGATTTCTGGATACCAGGTGTCTTTCATACAGGTAACAAGCTGAGATTAGAATCAGTCTCTTAAAGGGAGTGCTGCTAATCTCATTTTGTTACATGTATAAAACACACCTGTCCACAGGAGCAATCAATCAGATTCCAAACTCTCCACCACAACAAAAGACCAAAGAGCTGTCCAAGGATGTCAGGGACAAGATTGTAGACCTACACAAGGCTGGACTGGGCTACAAAACTATCGCCAAGGAGCTTGGTGAGAAGGTGACAACAGTTGGTGCAATAATTCGCAAATGGAAGAAACACAAAACAACTGTCAGTCTCCCTAGGTCTGGTGCACCATGCAAGATTGGGTCGTGGATGGGTGTTCCAGCATGACAATGACCCAAAACACAAGGCCAAGGCAACAAAGGAGTGGCTCAAGAAGCACATTAAGGTCCTGGAGTGGCCTAGCCAGTCTCCAGACCTTAATCCGATTGAAAATCTGTGGAGGGAGCTGAAAGTTCGAGTTGCCAAACGTCAGCCACCAAACCTTAATGACTTGGAGAGGATCTGCCAAGAGGAGTGGGCCAAAATCCCTCCTGAGATGTGTGCAAACCTGGTGGCCAACTACAGGAAACGTCTGACCTCTGTGATTGCCAACAAGGGATTTGCCACCAAGTACTAAGTCATGTTTTGTAAAGGGACTCAAATACTTATTTCCCTCAGGAACATGCAAATCAGTGCATAATTTGTTAGACATGCTTTTTTTTTTTTTAATTTTTCTGTTGCTATTCTGTCTCGCAGTGTTACAATACACCTACCATTGGATTTTTAGACTGATCATTTCTTTGTGAGTGGGCAAAGATTCAAAATCAACAGGGGATCAAATACTTATTTCCTTCACTGTATGTGTGTGTGTTTTATTTTAACAATAAAGATGGCCATACATGGCTCAAAGGAATGGATCAAAGTTGAAGCCATCTGTGGCCCTGATGACACCACCCAGCTCAACAAACTTTGATTAAAGTGGTAGTAAACTGCAAAAATAAAAAATCCCCCCAAAAGTTCCCTGCAAAATAAAAGCATAATGTGTTGGTATTCATCGCATACTAGCACATTATGATAGACTTTATTTATTTATATTAGAACGAAGCCCTCCAGCATGTCACCGCTGTAGGCACCTCCATCTTCACCCAGTCTTCCTTCTGGGTTTACGGGCTTCAGCTGTTTGACTGGCTCAGGGACGGTGACGTCACTCCCACGCATGCGTGGGAGTCACAGCCATGGCACGGCTCTTTCAATGGACGATATGCAGTGTGCATGCGCTGGTGATGTCACCAGCTGCTACTATAGTAAATATCCTCTAAATGGTGTACATTTAGGAGATATTTACTGTATGTACAGAGAAGCCTTATTTTAGGCTTACCTGTGGGTACAAGTAAGCAGGTAGGCTTTACTACCACTTACCTAAGGCTCCAGGCAGAATGGGTGCAGCCAAACAGCTGCGATCATTGTTTGGGTGTGCTGACAGCTGCGGGTGCCAGCTGTCAAAATACAATAGCTGTCAGGGAAAATTCGCCCATCCATGCTGGTAGCGTGGATGGGGAAATCTTTACTTGTGTGGCCAGGTTAAATTTAATTTTATTACATTAAGGTATTTATTTTATTTATTTTCAGTAAAATAAACAACAACTGAGAATGCAGTTTTTTGCTGGTTTTGTAAAACAATCCTGTAACAAAGGTGATTGTTTTTATAAAGAGAAGGAAGTTGGCCTTGTTCTGACATTTGAGAATTTTTAGATGTCCGTGTCCCATATAATGGACCGCTTGGAGGTTTCTCTTTTCTGTTTCTAGTGCATTATCCTGCAGTTATTTAGTGCAGTTTCCTGCAGAAACGATAAGGGAGTATAAGTGAGAGGCTGCAATGCCTATTAGTGGATCAGTGGCTCATATGTCTTTATGATGTAACCAATTCATTCCTGCAGGATGATCTCACCGTGCTGGCTTTTCTCCCAATGTACACAGTCCAGCTCTGCAAACTGTAATAAAAATGACAATGATGACGCATATATGTTCATTCTTTGAGGTGTCTGTGAGCCATATTTCATGTGTAGATCCCAGTTGTCCCTTATTTTTTGGGACAGGTTACCATTTCATATATTTGTCTCTGCAGATATTCTTCATTTTTACTTAATTTAACTTAATTGTAATTATTGTGTTTGGCTTTGAAGTTGGTATTGGAAAGAGGAATATGTAAAATGCAATTAGTATTCTATATCTGACTTGGATACTACAATAAGATTTGAACTGATCTACACTGGGAGAAAGGAAAAAGCCGAAAAAAGTAAACTAATGCAACCATCACACCTAAGGATTTGTAAGTTGCAATATATTGCATGTTTTGTTTTTGGGTTTAACACCAAGTTAATGCTGAATGTCACCCCATTACACATGCTGACTTGACACCATTGACGTACCTGTACAAAGCTGGACTTCAAGTGGTTATATCGGGATGATGCCCACAGCTGCAGGCATCATCGCAGTATCTTTTTTTTTTTTTTGTTTGTTTTTTAGAGCCGACAGTGGCTCCCTTGTAATGGCAATCCAAGTGGTTATCTAGCTAGTGGATTGCTATTAGAAGCAGCCCCTTCCGCCACCTTCCACAGCTTTAACGAGCTGTCCCGTCCCACCAGGACACCCGATCGACCAGCCGGTGCTTCTGCTGGCTGATCTTAGAGCCAAACAAAGAGCAGAACTGCTCCATTTGGCTCTATGTTATAGGGAATCGGAAGCGATGACCTTGAAAAACGTCTGGTTTACCCAGATGTAAACAGCTCCATTTTTAAAAAAGAAAAGCATTTGATCAAAGCAATCTTGGTGTGATGAAATGCTTTTAAGGGCAGAGGAGGGAATTGGGGTCTTATTGGCCCCAGTTCTCTCCATAAAGTGTACCTGTCACATGCCTATTGCTATCACAAGGGATGTTCACATTCCTTGTGACAGCATTAAAAGTGATAATAAAAATTTTAAAGCAACAGTCTAAAAAAACAAAACAAAATAATAATGCTAAAAAAATGTTTTAGTGCTCCCTCCCACCATGCTCGCGCTCAAAGGCAAATGCATGCGTCGGTTCCGCAACCATTCATGCAGTGATCATCCCTTACATGTGAGGTATCTCTGCGAACACCAGCTCCTGGGCAGTAATTCTAGCACCAGACCTCCTCTGTAAATCTAAAGTGGTCACCTCTA